ACATTTTTGGACCATGAGATTTGAGATAGGTGTCAATTTAGTCCGTGAAGTTTCAAAATGAACACTTTTAATCCCTGAGATTTGGGGTTGGTGTCAATTTGGTCTTTTAAGTTTCAAAATGAACACTATTAGTCCCTAAAGTTTGAATTTTTTTTTTCTGAGGTGGTAATTAATTGGTGATTGGAATTTTTTAATTTGTTTTTCAATTTGGTTCCTAACCAGTCACTTGTTCATTACTCGGTCTTTTTTTCGTTAAGTTAACCAACGGTCCAATAATACTGAGGGATCATTTAGAACAACTTTTCAAACTTTAGGGATCAAAAGTGTTTATTTTAAAATTTAAGGACCAAATTGACACTTACCTCAAATCTCAGGGACCAAAAATGTTTATTTTGAAATTTAAGGAATCAAATTGACACCTGTCAAAAATCTACCAAAAAGTATATTTTTCTTTTAGTTATACTACATATTGTATGATCTACATATATTTCTTCATATTAGCCATTCAAATTGGGACAATTCTTTTCTTTTATTTTATTTTATAATATTTTACTTTTAATATTCTATTTTTTTAACTGAAGCAAATTAAGGTGGCTACCCACTCATGTGGAAGAAAAAAAAATGAAAAGATAGAGATGAGAGAGAAAAGAAGAAGTCAAAGTTCTTATGTAATATAAAATTAAATATTGTGTGTATAAATTGAAAGGAAACGCAATGCTTAGGTATTGGGGATGTCATTTATTATTATTTTTTAATTATGTGGTTTTTGGTTTTCGATATTTAGTTAAAATAATTTGAATATAAAAAAATTGGAATTTCCAACCAAAAAATTCCAAAAATAGACCTCCAAATTAGAAAGGTTTTCCATGAACATTAAATTAGCCTACCAAAACTCCACATCTCCTACTCTATGATTCATCACCCCTTTTATATATATATATATATATTAAAACGTCGGAAAAAATCAAATCAAATCAGAATATTAAGAAAATTTTAATTACACACTATCTTAATTGAATAAGATAATGTAATTTCATATATTACAAATATCAAGATTGAAACTTTTTTTTAATAAAAAAACATTGAATTAAAAAGAAATAAGAGTTACATCACTGTGACCATGCATCCCATCACAATTCACGAAAAAAGATAATTGTCCCAAAGAACATAGGAACGATAAGAAATAAACCAAGATGGAAACATTTGATTTATAAAGAAAGTTACTAACTTTTTCTTTTTTGAAATTTGAAAAATGAATTTACTGTTGAAATGCCACAAGAATTTAGACCACATCATTAAAAGAAGTATGAATTTAGATTACGTTTTAAGACATTATTTTGTGAAAAAAAAAACGACAAAGTAAGATTTTGTACGATCATAAATAACTTATCCTGATGAATTTCTATTTCTCATATATGATTATGATATTATGTAGGGTTTAATCAAATGATGAGATGTGACAATAAAACTTGATTTAACCGAGTTTAATAATATGTGTTTTTTTTTTCTGTGTGTTTTATGGTTTGATAGTGATAGACTTTAAAGAGCAAAGTCACATAAATATATTATGTGATATGTCATTCCATATCCACATGTACTTTTCTTAATTTTGTCCAAATATATTATTGTCCATCTATTTGGAAGAAAAAAAAAAAGAAGAAGAAGGTTCTACATAAATTGACAATCTATTATCCAATGGCCAGCATGATTTCATCTTTACCTCATCCATTTATTTATTTATTTTTCTTTTAATTTTTTTTAAATATAACTTATTAAATTTATTGTATTTCTATATTAATATGATAAATATAAATATAATTTCATATTAATGGGTTTGAGTTGACAAATTGAGTTTATGTGTTTCGAATCATTACTACAAGGGAAAAAAAAAACTTTTCTTACACCAAAAACGTCTGAAAAATTTTTCATAAAAAAATAATGGGTCTAAGTCATTCCCTAACATTTTTCATTTTGAACAAAAAAATAATAGCGTCGCTCGTTGCTGATTCTAGGTCTGATCGTCGTTGGAATCGTCGCATGATCCAGATCTTGCCACTGTGGAGTTGACACTTGGGTTGCCATTCATGGACATCGTTGGTGGGGTCGCCTGATCGGGTAGGTGGTCGTTGGATTTGGATATCGAATGTGGATGTTGCTGGTGGAGTCGTCGTGGGTCGTCTAATCTGGTGGGATCGCGAGATTTGGGTAGGTCGCCAGATCTACTAATTTTTTGCTATGAATTTTTTAATTCTTCTATTTTTTCAGTCACTTAAATTTAAGCTTATGAAATAATTTACATTCACAAGTTCACAACCCAAGCAGAAAAAAGTGTTCAAAAGCCAAAGTATAGAGTATGTAATTACCGTTGAGTTATGTTCACTTTGACATGTATAACAACTGAGTAATTATTTATAATAGCAAAAAAATAACAAATATTATCACTTAAATATTTCAACCATTTATTGAGTTATACTAAATATTACGTTTTTCAATAGTTATTAAACATATTACCTATAATATATATCTAAAAAATAGCATAGCTTACATATGTCATACCCATTTGATTATTTAGGAATCTATGATTATTATAAAGCATCTATTTAATTAATAATTGCAAATTCTTTATTGAAGTAGCCTTTTTTGATAGGGAGGAGGATGATTAAAATAGCTTAATGAAACAAAGTCAAGGTTGCGAAAGATAAAAAATATAAAAATAATTAAATTTTACTATATTAAAAGGTAATAGATTGGAGAATTATTTTTGGACAATTCTACCCGAACTCCTCAATTAATAATTTCAATCATGCCGTTGATTTAATTTTTAAATTTTGATTATCAATTTTTATTATATAAAATGTGAGATAGTTTCAAAATTATTTTTGACTTATTTGTCCTTTATATAATTTTAAAATTCCAGACTCAGTAGTTTATATTTGATTTATTACAAATTTTTTTTTCAAATTAAAATAAAATTTATGTTATAAAATTACAAGTCATCACATTAATTTTTTTTAAAATTCTTGAAATCTCAATCCAATTTTTAAAATGAAAAAAAAAATAGTTTTAAAATCCTATGGGTTTATTTTCCAAATTGATTCAGAGATTTCAAAAATAATTTTTAAAACAAAACATAAAATTTTGCTAGTGTAATCAAAGGGTAGTTAAATTTTATATAAAAAAGTTTGGAGAATTATTTTTTAAAAGCTTGTTTTTTGATTCGTTTGTTTATTTTATTTTTTAAATTTAGGTTTGAGAATGATTATTTTCAATTTACAACCGGCCTCTTCAATAATTGTAAGGCAAAATTCATTCCTTTTTACCCATAAACGTCCGAGTGGGGAATTAATTTTAACATTAAACTTATATATATATATATATATATATATATATATATATATATATTGGTTATCACACAAAATTCAATCAACAAAAACTTAAAACGAAGCTAAAAAATGTCTGAATTGAGTCGCGAAATAACTTGAAAAAGAAAGCACTCTGAACTTAACATGAATACGTAGACCCACCTAGAAGTTTTGGAATCAAAATAAGATTTGGCCTGATTTTAACTTATTCTCCTGAAATGGTAAATGAATAGGGAACGTACCATAATAGTGTTTTACTAAAAAATGATAAAAGATTTATTTTTTTGCTTTTCCATTTTTTAGTAAAACATGTGTAGGTAGAGGATTGAACTTAAGATCTATGCTAATTACCGCTGAGTTATGCTTGCTTTTGACTTCTTTTTGGTTTTCGTATAATCAAAGTTCAATCAAGACGATATAAACATGAAAGTAGGAATCAAAATAAGATTTCTATAATAGGTTGATGAACTTTGATTGAACTATTGACCACTGGAATAATATAATAGATGTCTTATCTACTGTTTATATGGATAATTTTAGATTGTCCAACACACGTGAAGCAGATATGGCCGAATTATTCGGAATGAATTATGTGAGGTAAGAACAGTACAAAGAAACCAAATACTGTGATACTCAATTAATAAGAATCTTAACTATGTTTTTGAGACCAAGGAATCAGATAAGTATACCTCGGTACGAAATGATGCTCCTACTTATAGATGAAATGAAGTGGGGGCTTACACACCCGTTCTGTTAGACCGTTGACCTAGGTACCTTGATATATAGCCTTTCCAAGCTATCTCCAGTTCAACCGAGCTGTTTGGTACCTCTTTGATCGAGGTCGATAGGTTAGCTATTGGGAACTTTCGAGGTAAAAGAAGAGGAATCGCGTAGTATGACCTTTATATAATGTAACCCCTCTCATTTTTACAAGAAGCTAAACCCAATTTTAGAAAACCAATTTTAAGGAAAAAAACACCACCCCTGAATTGTTAACAACAATACTTTAAAATTACGTATCTTAGGGCTAACTCTTCCTAAAACATTAATATATATATATATATATATATATATATATTTATTTATTTATTTATTTATTTATTTATGCATTTCTCCCTAGTAAGCAAAGGATAGAATGTGACTAGTAAATACCTAAGTATTTTTCAATTATTAATTTTGTGTTTGACATTCGGAATTCGGAATTGGACATGAATAAATAATTTCAAATTTCACAATTTTAAATTCCAATTTCTTTACTAATCACGAGCAATTTTTTTTTTTTAAATCACTATAATTTGCTCCTTACAAAATCAGAGGTTCCAAATACAGATCATCCCGAAGAAAGGAAGAAGACGAAGTTTTTTTTGTTTTGTTTTTTGGTGGGCAAAAGATTGTGTGTTTGCTTTTTAGTTAATAGTTTTAGTTTTAGAAAGGTGTTCATCATGATGATTCAAGCTTGACATCATATTGATGATTGGTCCAAAATGAATCAAAAAAATAAAACAAAACAAAATAATTTTTATTTAATTATTGGACCCCACTTCTGAATTTTCCCACGATTCCAATCCCCATGCGTCGCCTCTCTGTCAGAACCCCCAACAAACCCAAATCCTCACTCCATTTATATATATATCCCCAAATCCCTAATCAAAATCCCCAATTTCCCAATTCCCAAATTCAGTTCATGATCACAGCCTCTATTTCCAAATTCCCCGCCATTGTTCCTTCCAGATTCTCCTTCTTCCGCTCCGCCGCCGCCTCCTCCGCCATGTCTGAATCCGATCGCTCATCGCCCTTCGCCGCTCCTCGCTTGGTCCTCAAGAAGATTCTCGCCAAGCTCCAGCACGAAGGAGACGGCGCCGTCGTTCGTAGAGGCATTGGAAGGTACTAATTCTTCTCAAATCTTCTTCAATCTTCTTCTCCGCCCACTCATTTCTTCTTCTCTCTGTTCCTCAGAACTGATTTGAAGAATTTGGATCCGTTTCTCATGCTCGACGATTTCTCCGGTACCGGAACCGATTCTCTTGAGATTCATTCGCTTTA